CACGTCGATAGGAAGTAGCAAAATTGTAAAATGCCCCCCCCCATTGCCAAACTGCCCACGGAATTCTATCCCTGTTCAAAGTAAGCGTTGACATCACTACAATCGCGGAATCGAGTGAAGCTGGATGACCCGACCGGGGGTGTTGTCACGCACCCGAACAGGTGAATTCCCCACCTCCATCTAAGTAGAATATCGAGCGCTCTTCAGGCGCAGTCTGTGTCTATTATGTTCCTTCACCTGAATGAAAGACAAGTCTAAGTGGTAGTTGAGGAGTGTTCATGACTTCCAGTTATGTTTTTCGTTCATTACAACATTCTGCTCATTCCAGAATCAATTACCTAATTCTCGCTTGTAATGAGTATTACATTCGCAATAAGACTGGCACTTGTAAAGCTAGTGCATAATAAATGGAACAAGAAACCGTAATGACGCAAGCGACGGAATAGGATTCCCATGGCATCAAAGGAGTCAATTATTGCAAAAAACCGAGACCAGGCCCATTCATTCATTCGGGAAGATGACGCTAACCAGGAGATTCCGCTCCTCTCTTTGTGAACTGGACGGAGCGACGTTTGAGGTTTGGGAAGCTTTTTGAGTGTTCCGAGGAACTTTCCTGATGTTCGTAGTGAAGAAAGCGACCCTTTACTTTCTCACCAGGTTCAGGGAATATAAACCGTGAAACAAAATTTATTTGTGCGCTTTACCACGGAGCAAAATGTGAGCGCTGTTCGGCTCAGGAGGGGGAGCGCGCGTATGCATTTTCGCTGCTTCCAAACGTGCGCCCTTGTTTTACAAGAGTTGATAGGCATTCTTCATATGGGTGGATAAATGGTCAACAAACTTCAACTGTTGTCTCTTCATAGCCAGGGCACGTCCTGCCACTGGTGAAATTTTTCGGCAAGTACGACCCCCCCCCCTCGATTTCGTTCTTATACTCCCCCCCGCCTTCCCCATCCCACGTACTGTCTTGCCTCTATTGCAAACTTTTCCGACTTCCTACCACATTTGTAAAAATTTCCCAAACATTCTCTGTATCGGCCGCGGAAATTGTTGCCGTCGATCGGGTTGTGGTCGTTAACGTAACCTAGTTTAGCACGCCTAGAAAATAGAAAAAAAGGGAAAATGAGGTATGAAAAAATATCTCAGACCAATTACGACCCCCCCCAACCAAATACGGCTCCCCGCGGCCAATTTAAGACGTGCCCAGCTCATTGCTTCACAAGATTTAACAAGATCCAGTTACTCTGATGGCTCGCCCAAGATAAATGGGAGATAGCGAAATTGGTCCCTACCCCAAGCGAAACTGCTTCTTACGTGTTCGAGTAAGACCTCCCAGTTAAGCCAGTTGCTTCGTTGTGTAAAGTTTTGCTGAGAAACACCCGAAGTAATGACCCTGAGGTTCCCGGCGTTGATGCCTTGACTTCTCACTATCCCAGACCCGCTCCACCAATCGAACTCTGTTCCCACCATCCAGGCCATCAATCACTGGAGCATCGGTCAGTTGGTTCTGGGAGGGTGAAAACCGCGTGAGCGTTGGGTAACTTCCAAATTCGCGAATCTAAGCATATCATGGCGCTGAAGGAAACTGATAGTTTGGCACTCCCCCCTGTACCACCGCCCCCCTCCTCTTACTACTTCTCGTCGAGTTACACATCTGACCCTGGTGAAACCTGTGAACTCTCCGGTGCAACTGAAGCTCATTCTATGGAATATCTTTACAAGAGTTCACAGGTCTCCGCGGGGGGGGGGTGAGCGTCGCTAGTGATCGATGGGGATCAGGAAATTCCCTCACCAAACCAAATTTTGCAGCACTGGTGTTCCAAACACGGATACTTCAGCGGGTTTCACGGGCTGAATGCACTTTCAAAACGCGTTGTGGTTCCTGAAATCGACCGAACAGTTGCACTTTGTCGATTTTTTTCGTACGGGTTCAGAGACCAATATTTCTCGCCACCCCGCCGAAAGCCTCACGCTATCGGACAGCCGTTCTCTGCAGAGAGTGGGTTCATTCGTCTCACACTCGCCGCGGCGGTATTCCCTGTCCTTTGCGTGCCGCTGCATTTCCCAGAATTATCGCACCTCCATCGATTGCACGCAAACGTTCTCGTCGCATTCCAAGCACTTTTTGAATATGCCATACGCCACCAGTTCATAAGTGCACGACGATGACGGGGTGGTTCCGATTTTGTGCCAGAGGTGCGGAGGTGGTTTCACACCTCCCACGTAACTTAAAGTGCTCGTTGCACCTTCTGAACACCCACCAAGTTGTCGCAGCTTTCTTTTTTTAATGGTTTGCTTCTCTTTTCTGATGATGTACTTTTCCTTGTAAGATGGTCCACCTTTTTCCGAAGCGCTGTCGCCTTCACCAATCCGGGTATTCAGGGCATTTCGGGCCTATTCGGCTTGGAGGGGGCATTTTGCACATTGCACATCACTTTTTCCGTTTGTCAGTTCGTGTTAACTGACAGCTCTTACTCTGGTTAGACCTGTGAACTTCTGTGAAGCTGAAGCCACGAAGTTGTTAATGTGCGCCAGTTTGGTAACAGGGATCTACAGGTTTTTAAAGATGGCCTGTGCAAGCTTATCCAAGTAGTATTCGGTGTCCCCACCAAGCCTACCTGCTCCCGCCTTTCTAAGCTTAACGACAGTTTGCAATAAAAAAACAGCTGTTTCCCATCTTGCGGATTGTTCTTGGGCTAGAATTTGTCTAGTGATCCCCAGTGG